AAGGGCAGCTCCAGAGGAGGTGATCATTTGTTTCTCCTTCCACCAGCAGGTTTGCCTTGGGAAAGGCTGGAGATCCTCTCCGTGTCTCTGCATCAGGTTTTGAATTACATTACAATTCTTGAGTGGGGGTCTGCGGAAGTGACAGCCAGAAGCTGAAAGGAGCTGCTGCTGCTGCCACTGCTGCCTGAGGTGTGGGATGGACCAGGCGGGGGAAATGACATTCATCTCTTATGGGGGTGCTCTTGTCTCTTATCTCATCTCAGCACCCCAGAGCTCCCCTATAATTTGAACCCTGTTCAGTGCCCACATGGAGAGTGCCTGGTGGGCTGCCTGGCAGTTCAAGTTTATATGCATTTCCTTCTTTCTTTTTTCTGGAAGATTCACTCCCACATGACCTTGCAACTGTTGCCAAGGAATACATCCACAGGTGTCAGTCTGTCCCTTGCCCTTACTATTTCCTGCATCTTCCAGTGGTTAGTCAGGGCTCTTCCAGTGGTTAGTCAGGGTTTCATTCTGTACCTTATATCTGTTCAAGAACTGCTCAAGGACCTTGTAGAACGATGGCAGCTAGCACACCCACCAGCTTCACAACAGGTGCCCTGCAAAGTATTTCATGAAGCAAGCTGTTTTGGTTTCTGCCCCGACTGCTAGTTTGTAGCCTCCATATGTAAAATAGATCTTCCTTGTTTACCTGGAGTAGCTGTTGTAGAACTTTGTTGTTAAAATCTTCTCCACTCATGCCATTAGGGAGAAGACCGGACTGCGATTCATATCCATTCACCTTGAAACCCATGGGAAAACCTCTTCCATTCGATCCTGCTACTCCTCTTCTGGCTGCTCCTCCTCTGGAAGTTACTGCCTTCCTCGCCTTGGCTGCCTGGACACCTGAAATCCAAAAATAAGACCGCTCTTCCCCCACTCCCACGTGTAGGTGGAGACCACAAGGGTCCTCCGCTCTGATGGGAACAGGAACTACACTTGATCTGAACCAAAAGGCAAAGCAGCGATACAAAAAAGAAAAAAAAAGGGTTCTCAACTATGCATGAAATTAAACCCAAGCCAATAGACTCATGAATTATCATACAGTTGGACCCCAGCAGACACAACAGCATTTCAAGCCATGGTGATCCCAGAGCTCAGCACTATTTAATACATATGGGTACTCCAGATATTGCCCACGGAGGATCCACGTGCTAATTAGACACCCACACATGACTAGAACCAGGTGCTCTTGTCAGTTCTGGGATCCTCCAAAACTGATATTTGAATGAGGCACAGGGCAACCTGGCCTGACTCTACCTCCTGGAGGGCAGAGCCACACTAATCATATGAGACAGGCTGAGAAAGGGGGTGACAGAGGGCTTCTGGATGAACTCTTTGGGGCCCCATTTGGTGATGTTTTCCAAACCTTTAAGGCTGATAAGGAAACAGGAATGACTGGAAGTGTAAAAGAAAGGTGAAGTTCAGCTGTGGGAGTAAAGAGGAAGTTGAAATGTATTCAATGCAGTGGCTCACCATGACTTGAAAAAGAGCTGACACTGGGGGGAGGGCGGCACATATCTTATACATACAGGCTCTATTCACCTATCCTTATGGTAGGTTTCCATAAGATTACCTGGCAGAAGGGACACCATGATCTAGCACAAGAATGGCAATTATTTTAGGCAGAGGGCTGCTTAACGAGTTTTTGCAAGCTGCTGAGGGCCGCATAGGTAGCCCCACCCCTTGACAGTTGCCCTGCCCCTTGTTCACTATCTTGTAACCGGAAGTCCCGTTCCCTAACCCCTGACCTTTGCCACCTGAAGTCCCCTCCCACCCCAGGAAGTACTCCTTTCAGCAAGGGGTTTTGCCATCTCAGAATACCAAATTATATTCTAAAAAGCAAACAACTACAGCATTCATTAATTTGATTTAAAAATATATTTTTATCCTGATTTACATGCATTTGTGTTGAGTACACAGAGGTGATTGCACAATAGCTTAAAATGAAGTCTTACTTTTGTATATCGTGAGGGGTCTGCATAAGTTAGGTGGGGGAGCTGTGGTTGTGTGGGTGGGTGTGGAGCTGGTGGGGGGCTATGTGTGGGGGAGGGTGGCTGGGGTGTGTGAGTCTGCATGTATGACTGTGAGGGGGGTATGGGTACATGTGTATGGTGAAGTGTGTGTATGCAACTCACCCCATGAAAACACACACGTGCACACACACTCTGCCCCTGCCTGCACACACACACACACACACAGCCCCTGCCTACACACACACAACCCCCCTCCCTACACACACACTGCCCCACCCTGTGCGCGCGCGCACTCTGCCCCTGCCTACGTGTGCGTGTGTGCGCATACACACGCACACACAGGCATGGCCCCATGCTCCCTGGTCCAGCGATGCAGCCAGAATCCACGTGGTGCCGGAGCAGGGCAGGGGTAGGAAGACAGTGAAATGGCTAGAGGTGGGGTGGGGTGGGGTAGAGCTGGGCTGCTCTGCTCTGCTGAGGGCTCCCCTTGGGTCCTACTGCCTCTGGCTCATGTCAGTTTTGACAGGCAGCCAGGAGCAAATAAATATTAATTTACTAATTTTTTTAGGGGCCCCATGGGCTGAATAGAATGGCCTGGTGGGCTAGATCCAGCCCACAGGCCATATTTTGCCCACCCCTGATCTAGCAGGTGGTTTTCCTAGGGACAGGGGATAACCACTGTTCTGGCATGGGTTAGTACCCAGACAGAGGTAATGTATAGTTACCCTCCCACTTTCATTTCCAGTGGGAAGATGTTGGCTTTACGCCCTGTGCCTGCCTAGTCTTGTATAGGCATTCCCTTGCTGCCTTGGAGCGTGCACCTGGGGTTGGCGGCAGCGTTGGTTCCTGCAGTCTTGGCGAGGGCTTGCGTTCTCCCCAAGGGAAGTGCCAAAACTCACCTGCCACGACACTGGTCTTCCCTTCAGTGGTGGGGCTCCCTCTTGTAGCCCCTCGCAGGTCGGTCACACTCCCTAGCTGGTATTCTTTGGGCTCCACCTCTCCTGCACCACAGCCGTGTGCCAGCCCTTAAGACAGCTGCTCTATGATCGACTGGCTCGCCCTCTGAAGTTGACTCCTGGGCCCTCCCTGTCCGCCAGGTTCCTAATGATCTTATCCTGTCCTTGGTCTCTTCAGGATGTTCCACAGTCCCTGTAGCTATGCTGCATCTCCCTGGCTGCACTGCTGCACGCAGTGTCATCCCAGCTGCTCTTCTCCTCTGCGCATCACCCCTGGCCCTAATACCTTTCTTAGGGGCCCTTAGGGTGATCCATAAAAGAATAAGTTAAACAGAAACCAAAAGTGGGGAGTGGGGTCTTAGCCCTTTCCCACTCATGACTTCAGTGTCTGCAGCTTCGTGGTCCCTCGACGCCATCCTCATCCCTTTAACTGTTCGTGGGCCCTTCCAATGGGTCTGCCCTGGGGTCTCCCAGTGGCTGCCGGTGCCGTCCTTGCCTGGCACGGGAGGCACTCTCACTGTCTGCTCCCCACAGTGCCTCCTCACCTCTTTCTTCACCACCAGTTTTTAACTTTGCTGGGCAGCATTCTCCAGTGATGTCATCTGCCTGCACCACTTTCAGCCGGATATAAAAGCAGCTGATGAACCTCACGGGTCCTCCATCCCAGCATGGCTTGTCCATTCCTTCTCTCCCTAAAAAAGGTAAGTTTGCCGTGTCTTCAGGGCTTCTCTTGCAGGGACGTGCTATCTCTTCCCCAGGTCCTGCTGTGGGAGGGGTCTCCTGTCCCCTCATTTTTGTTCCCCTGGGACACATCCACTATGGAACTGGGAGATTCCTCCCTTGCTTGCTCCTGCGGCCATACGGCTGAGGGCAAGCGAAACTTGGGGGCATCTGAACCCCAAGCCTCCAGACTTGAACCTGTCCATAGGATGTCTACTAAAGGATTTGGAAGTATCTGAAGCCCCAGGCTGAAAAGTTTGGGGTGGAGGATACTTGCTGGTAGTAGGGCCATTCATGGTTCTTGAACAATTGAAAGGAGGATTTGGAACTGATCTGGCTGATTTGGCTCATTTGACTAGGGACATGAAAAATTATCCTTAAAAATAACCAACCCCCAAAAACCTGTCATGGTATTTATTACTGGACATGGGTAATGCAATTAAAATGGCACTGTGAAGTGGAGGGTGCACCCTTGTCTGCATGCGGACAGGACTCCCTATGAGAGCCTCATAGTAACTTTCTCACTGACCAGCTTCCAGTGGGAGGATCTTGGTTCCACACCAATTTTATGGAAATGGGAGATTCTTTCCTAGCTTGCTGCAGTGGCCATATGGCTGAGGGCAAGTGAAACTTGGGGGCAACTGAACCCCAAGCCTCCAACCTTGAGCCTGCCCACAGGATGCCTGCCAAAGGACTGGGAAGGATCTCAAGCCGCAGGCTAAAAAGTCTAGGGTAAAGCATACTTGCCAGTAGTAGGGCCACATACGGTTCTTGAGCGACTCAAAGAATTTGGAAATGATCTGGCTAATTTGACCTTGGGCAAGAAAAGTTTTCCTTAAAAAGTATGTTTGCCTAACATGGGCCATATACTTTATAGTCATGCTCAGTTTAATCAACTTCATAGCTTGTTTCATTACTGAGCACATGATGCTTTCAGCAGCTATTTAATAATTGACAACGTATTTCATGATATTTCTTTGTGACTATAAGCCGAGGAGATTTTTCCCCATGCTGATTTGGGGCGGGGGTAAGGGGAGGGGGGAATCTTGCCTTGTATTTGAGCAAGTACAGTAAACAGGATTTCTCTACAAAGATTCCTCATGAGGATGGATCCAAACAAAGACTAAATCAGCTGTGAGGGGGGTCTAGGTTCAAGCCCTATGTCTCCATATTCAATTAGGACACTTCCTTTCAATATCATGGTTTTACATCACATTTTTATTGAAACATAAAAACCTGCAATATTTATTTTGGAGACGTCTCAGGAACTACCAATATTAACAAATGTTTTTATTCCCAGATCACTTACCTGGTGAGGCACGAGCCCAAGAGAGGTGGGTGGTTCATTCATTCTGTCATCACTGCTGCTAGCAACAGCATAACCACTGCCAAAAAAAGAGAGAGGGTGGGAGCAGAGAATCAAGGTAAAGAAAGACTAGCATTAGTCACAAAAAATTCTACCTAAGTGTTTTTGCTGGAAAGAGACAATTTTTCACAATAGTGTGTTTTTGTCAAAACAGAACATTTTAATGTCAAACCATAAACCTTGATAATCTTCCCCTCCCACCCCATCCTCCATTTTTGGTCAAAAAGTAATTTTTCAGTTAGCAGTAACTAAGAAATTTTCTTCCATAAGCAGCTTCCTTCATCTTGGAAGGTGATCTATTTGGAAATCCCTTTCACAGTTATGATTCAAGCACAGGTTTGTGTGAATTACAGAATCAGGGCTCCAGATTTTTCACTTACTCATACCTAAATCATAACTCCATTTTCTTTTTTCTTTTAAAAGATTTTAAGGTCAGGAGGGACTATTATGTTCAGCTAGTCTGATTACTTGCATAACAGAGGCCATGGAATTTCATTAAGTTCAATACAGATAGCACTATACAAACATTTTATTGAAGCTAAAATACTGTCACAATTCTTGGGCTAGGTTCCCTGATGAAACAGAAATTTTATAGTAGGTCTTCATTTCAGTGAGGTACTTGTCTGGATGCAGGACTCCAACTTAACAACAAAAGTTTTCCTGTTGAAATGCTGCATTTTCAGTACTTCTTCAGCTTAGAGGTACACTGATACATCGGGCCATATCATATTGGCACTGATAAAAGGAAAATTAACATTATCAGTAAATGGCTTTTTTTGACTTATGGGGCCGATAACATCACTGATAAATAACACGTTGCGTGTGCACAGCTGCAGCATGCATGCAGCCATGAGTGCAGTCTGGTAGCATGGAGAGCAGTGTCCAGCTGGTAAGTCTGTGGGGGGAAGGGACATGGGGAAGGGAAGGGATGTGGAGGGAGCACAACAAGGCCCCTGCGGCAAGGGCAGGGGCAGGGGCTGCACAACCAGGCCAGGGCAGAGTGCAGGATGAGCTGGGCTTGTCCAGGGGGCAGGGTGTGGGGAGCTGTTCCCGCTGCTGCGTACACCCCTGGGGGAGGCATGGGGAGCACGTGTCCCCCAGATCTGTGCACGGGGCAAGGGAGACTGCACAGTCTGGGAGAGAGCACAGGGGAGACTTCACAGTGGCAGAGGAGTTGCTGTGGCTGTGACTGCAGATCCTGAGGAAAGGAAGGAAGAAGAACAGCAGATTAAGGACCCTAGACTTTAAAAAAGGAGACTTCAATTCACTCAGGGAACTGACAGACTGGCCGGCCCTTGGAGACCAGTCTGAGAGGGAAGGGAGCCCAGAAGATCTGGTTGTATTTTAAAGAAATCTTACTGAGGGTGCAGGAACAAACCATTCTGATGTGCAGGAAGACTAGCAAGTAGGGTAGAAGACTACTTGGCTTAGCAGGAAACTCTTCAGTGAGCCAAAACACAGAAAGGAAGCTTAGAAGAGGTGGAAACTTGGACAAACAACTAGGGAGGAGTATAGAAGTACTGGTCGGGCATGCAAGGGTGAAATCAGGAAGGACAAAGCACAATTGGAGTTGCAGCTAGCAAGGGATGTGAAGGGTAACAAGAGGGGTTTCTACAAGTAAGCCAGCAATGAAGATCAGGGAAAGTGCGGGTCCTTTACTGAATGGGGGAGGCAACAATGGCAAAATAACAGGTTAGGGACTATTTAGAAAAGCTGGATGCAAAGCCCCCAAGGGTCCTGAGGGAGTTGGCTGATGTGATTGCAGAGCTGTTAGCCATTATCTTTGAAAACTCACGGTGATCAGGAGAAGTCCCAAATGATTGGAAAAGGGCAAATATAGCAACCATCTTTAAGAAGGGGAAGAAGGAGGATCTGGGGAACTACAGACTGGTCATCCTCACTTCTATTTCTGGAAAAATCATAGAGCAGGTGCTCAAGGAATCCATTTCTAAACACTTGGAGAAGGTGATTACTAAAAGTCAGCATGGATTCACCAAGGGCAAGTCATGCCTGACCAACCTGATTGCCTTCTTTGACACAATGACTGGCTCTGCGGATGCAGGGAGAGCAGTGGATGTGATATACCTTGATTTTGGCAAGGCTTTTGATAGTCTCCCACAACATTCTTGCAAGCATGCTAACGAAATACAGGCTGGATGAATGGACTGTAAGATGAACAGAAAACTGGCTGGAACACCAGGCTCAAAGGGTAGTAAGTCAATGGCTCAATGTCTTGTTGGAAGTTGGTAACAAGTAGAATGCCCCAGGGATCAATCCTGGGTCCAGTTTTGTTCAATATCTTCATCAACAACCTGGAAGATGGCATAGAGTGCACCCTCAGCAAATCTGCAGATGACACCAAGTTCGTGGGATTAGTAGAAAGGCTAAGAGTAGTACTAGGATTCAGAGAGACCTAGACAAATTGGAGCATTGGACCAAAAATCTCATGAGGTTCAACAACAAGTGCAAAGTCCTTCATTTAGTACAGAATAATCCCATGCACAGGTGCAGACTGGGGACCAACTGGCTAAGCAGCCAACAGTGTGCCCTTGTTGCCAAGAATGCTAATAGCATATAGGGGCGGATGTAGACGAAACAGGAGCCCTAAATTGAAGCAGTGGGTTTTAAACAACACTGCTTCAATTTAGGGCTGATTAAACGCCTATGCCATGCACACACCCCGCTGACTTACCTGCCTTTTTGGCACGGAGGGGAGTGCAAGCTGCTGGTGGGCGGAGCAGCCCCTGGGCTTGGGGGCAGGGAGGGCTGATGCTTCCCTCTACAGGAGCTGCGGGCCCCCCCAGGCGGCACCCACCTGACTTGGGTGATCCCGGGGGGGGTGGGGGGGTACCACAGCCACAGAGGAAAGTACTGGGCCCCCGCAGAGCTCAGGCAGACAGGCTCTGGGGAAGGTAGGGGGAGAGGGGGGAGATCAAGTTTGCCGCTTTTCTTGGGCCAAGCTGCTTTCCTGGGCTGCTGTCTGGCTGCCTCCAGGGCTTCCTGTAGAACTGTGGAACTGCAGGGAGCCTGGTGCTTTGCTCTGTGGTTGTAGGGGCAGCAAACTTAAATTTAAAGAGACAGCCCTGTGATAATTACATTATTTACATGGAAAGTTAAAACAAATTTATTTTCCACAGCTGGAATCTAATTATTTGGGGGAGGGGGGACAGTGTCTTAAATTGAAAGTCATCTTTAATTCAGGTAGTGTTAACATTTTATCTTGCATACATTACAGATATTTAAAGTGGAAGAATGGACTTTAAGTCTGCAGGATCCCAGGAGAAAAGGCTTTTTCCCAGAAGGAATGCAACATCTGTTTACAGCTGCACATGTTTTCTGAAGTGAGAACTTAGACTTAAACCAGTCTCACAATGTGCAATACAGAAGCAATGAGTTTTTCCAAAAATACCTTTTGTCTTATAAACATCAATCCTCCCCCTCAAATGACTCACCCTTCTGGATGTTGTAAAACAGAAACCATTAACTCTACTGCAAGAGCTCCAGCTATCATGGCTAACCCTGGTCGGCTGACCGTGCACTGCTGATCCAGTGTCCGATCCCTGGTGGACTACAAAGAAAGAAAATTCAGAAAAAGATGATACTTGAAAATACTTGGCTGTCCATTACATAGTTAAATATCTGTCATTAAATCAATACAAGTGAGTTCTCTCTTGGTATCAATATGAAGAATTTGTTGTTTCCAAATGTCATGAGTCACTACAAATGAGGCTGCACAAAAGAGACAGTAACATAAAAACAGAAAACACATAAAAGGGATGCATAATAGCTATTTGCAGAAAACTCCACTCACATCTCCTGGTGCCACAACATCATTGCAGAAATAACAGCCAAGCTTATAGCCAGGGATATTTGAAAAGAGTGATGATCCCAGGAGATCAGCAGAGCTTGTGATGCTACTGGAACATGAATCACCAGGCTCCTGCTTTTTCGGTTTCTTTAGTCCATGTCTCATCACAACAAATGTGTCAAATCCCAGTGCAGCATTGATGACCAACTATAAAGGAAGAAAACACGTAGTCAAAGGAAGCATAAAGAAAAACAGTCTACACATGTTGATTGTTATAAACAGAAATTTCTCTTTCTTGCAATAAAAATGTCAAGCTATAGTTGTTAAATTTACAGCTTGACATTATTTAATTACTACATTTATTTCTGGAAGTATCTTTTAAAATACACTCCACATATTCATGAGCAATATACAAACAATATCTTCCATTATCAATAGGTGCCAATGTGAGACTTCCTGGACAGTGTGATTTCAGACTTCAAGCACTATGCAAATACTGTGCTCACACACACAATGGACTGTGTTTTCTGCAGGAGAACACATCAAACAAGCTTTCCTATGGGTGTTGTTGTTTACTCATGCTTTAAAGATAAAAGGGGAGAAATATAATAAACAGTTTTTTCCCCAAATGAGTCACTCAGACAAAAATTTACAGCCAGTCTGGAGAAGGTGTTTTTTTAATGAAAGTTATTCTAAAATATATTTGAAATAAGAGTGACATCGGGTTTCACTATTTGCATATAAATGCTAACATACATGTTTTAAAAAATGTTTGTAGAAAAGCAAGCATGCGTGTCACCTCATTTGTAGTTTAACATCCCTGGGTATATCAACAGCATGCCTTTTAATTTTATTGTTCAGTTTAGGATTAATTTAGCAGGATTTCTTTCTGGCTGCCCATTACATATCTGGCTTGTTGAATAAATCGAGCAGGATACAACAGTAATACAATTCTCTTTTAAGGGAGTGTATTATTAACTCTGAATTGAACAGTTAATAGAGAGGACGTTTCTGCAGGAGACTCAGGATTGTGTAGTGAAAGAGACTGTCGCCTTTAGAACCCATGCTTAATTTACTGAGGACGTTGGAAGTTATATTATGAAAGAGCCTGGGACCTTCAGGAAGATACAGGACAACTCAATTCTGTCCTGAAAAATTGGATTATATTCCTGTGTGGATCAAAGAGCTCCTATGTCATGTGAGTCAAGTAGCAAACCTAACTTTCTGCAGGTTGTCACTTATGAGTATGAGGAACATGAACTGAGCGTCCAACTTGAGGCCTAGGGATATGAACTATAGAACTACTGAGCTCTCACAGATACAGCTAAAATCAATGGGAGTCATGTTCTGAACACATGAAGTGCTATATTGTGTTAAAAATTCTTTTAAAAAATAAAAGCAGAACTTTAGTATCTCAAATTGGACACTTAAAATTAATGGATACTTTAGACCTTCCTATGGCTGTGGATATATGTTGTAGTGCTACAAATGAAAATATGCACACAACCTATGGTATAATCTTTTTATGTAGCAGTTTCCCATCTATAAAATAGAGGTTACAATGCCCTGATATGATAGGGGTTTTATGAAAATAAATGTATTAGTATTTTCTATGATAGTAGAATCATAGAAAATTAGGGTTGGAAGGGACCTCAGGAGGTCATCTAGTCCAACCTCCTGCTCAAAGCAGGACCACCCTAAACTAGATTAGTTCAACCAAAGCTGTCTAGCTAGATCTTAAAATCCTCCAAGAATGGAGATTCCATCCTCTCCGGGTATCCTGTTTCAGTGCTTTACTACCTTCCTAGTGAGAAAATTCTTCCTAACATCTAATCTGAACTTTCCTTCATGCAACTTAAGACTGTTGCTCCTTGTCCTGTCATATGCTACCACTGAGAACAGTCTAGCTCCATCCTCTTTTGAACACCGCTTCACATAGTTGAAGGCTGCTATTAAATCCCCCCTGAGTCTTCCCTTCTCCAGACTAAATAAAACCAGTTCCCCTCAGCCTCTCCTCAGAAGTCACATGCCCCAGTTCCATAACCATTTCCGTTGCCCTCCACTGAACTCTCTCCAATTTGTCCACATCCTTTCTGTAGTAGGGGGCCCAAAACTGAACACAGTACTCCAGATGTGGCCTCACCAGTGCTGAATAAAAGGGAAATATCACTTCCCTTGACCTGCTGGCAACACACCTACCAATGCAGCCCAGTATGCTATCAGCCTTCTTAGCAACAAGGGTACACTGCTGGATCATATTCAGTGTATCGTCCACCGTAACCCCCAGGTCCTTTTCTGCAAAGCTGCTGCCCAGCCAGTCAGGCCCCAGCCTGTACTGGTGCCTGGGATTGTTCTGTCCTAAGTGCAGGACTTTGCATTTGTCCTTGCTGAACCTCAGACGATTTGTTTTGGCCCAGTGCTCCAATTTGTCTAGGTCACTCTGAATCCTAAGCCCTATCTTCCAGCGTACCCTACTCCTCCCAGTGTGGTGTCACCTGCAAACTTGCTGAGGGTGAACTCTATGCCATCTTCCAGTTTGTTGATGAAGACTGTGGCTAGGTAGAGGGCAGAGGTGTCCAGGAGAGCAGGCTGTACTTTAAGGAAGACTTACTGAGAGTCCAGAAACAAACCATCCCAATGTGCAGGAAGACTAGCAAGTATGGCAGAAGACCAGCTTGGCTTAGCAGGGAATTCTTCAGTAAACTAAATCATGAAAAGGAAGCTTATAAGAAGTGGAAACATGGACAAACAAGTAGGGAGGAGTATATGAGTATTGCTCAGGCATGCAAGGATGAAGTCAGGAAGGCCAAAGTGCAATTGGAGTTGCAGCTAGCAAGGGATGTGAAGGGCAACAATAAGGGTTTCTACAAGTATGTCAGAAACAAGATGATCAGGGAAAGTATGGGTTCCCTATTGAACAGGGGAAGCAACCTTGTGACAGAGGATGCAGAAAAGGCTGAAGTACTCCATGCCTTTTTCACTTCAGTCTTTACAGGCAAAGTCAACCCCCAGACTACTGCACCTGGCAGCACAGTTTGGGGAGGAGATGAGCAGCCAACAGTGGCACTGGCAGCGGTGGCAGCAGTGACAGCAGCTGGAAGGTAAGCAGGGCAGAGGGGTGAGTGCAGCTGCAGCGGATCCAGAGGGAAAATCCCCGGATCCCATTTAACAAGAACAGCAGGGAGCCACGCTCCTGAGCCACGCACAAACAGGCACACAGGCAGGGGGCAAGCAAGCTAGGGAAAACTTCCCCCGGCAGGAAGGGGGACTGCCCACTGGGAGATCCTCAATGATCCCAGTGGCAGGCTTCCCCTGTGGGAGGGGAACCCAGGGGGAGGGGTGACCAACAGGCTCTTCCAGGGAAGCCCAGAACAGCCTGATTGGCTGCTGTGATTAACACAGGAAATTCAAACTGGAGGCTTTTAAAAGTTGGGGCAAGCCCCAGCCCGTGGCAGTGGGGACTGGGAGAATGAGCAGGCGTATGTGTGCAGCAAGTGCATGTGTGCCCTCGACACACTCACCCAGGACAGGCACTGGCGGTGGCAACAGCAGCTGAAAGGTAAGCAGGGTGGAGGGGCGGGCGCAGCTGCAGCAGATCCAGAGGGAAAGCCCCTGGATCTCATTTAACAAGAACAGCAGGAAGCCACACTCCTAAGCCATGCACAAACAGGCATGCTCTGTAAGGGTGTGCCAGGGTTTGTACAAGGTGGGTAAACAGGAGGAGCCAGGTCGGAGGCTCTGACAGGGGACAGAGGAAGATACTTTGTTCTACAATAATGGTAAGGACACGGCAGGCTGCCAGGGACCCAGCCCCAGTGATGCTGCCTGCCCAGGGCTCCTTTGAGGCCTCTACCCAGATGAAGCCCACAAGGTTAGAGCCACCCTCCCCCACTGTCTGTGGGGGCTGCCTGGTGGGGACTCTGCAGCCTGGGGGTGGGGAAAGGGGAGCAGGAGTTCCCCTGCCTGTCCCATGTGCGCCCACCTTCAGGCCCTGGAGGAGCAGGTGAGGGAACTCCAGGCGGAGGTCAACAGGCTGAAGGGAATCAGGGCTGCCAAGGATGAAAGTGACAGGTATTTCCGTTCTCTGCGGGGTTAAGTACCCAGTGGAGAAGCACCCTGGGAGGAACCCGATGCAGTGGTATGGCAGACGGTTACCACCAGGGCCAGGGCTACTCGTGCTGCCGCAGTGTTGGCCCCCCCAGTACAACTGGAGAACCGGTACAAGGCCCTCGCAACATTGGAGAACAAGGTAGATGAGGATGCCTTCAGAGGAGCTGATGCCACTCCACACATGGAGCAGACTGAGTGATGCCAGAACACCCAGAGGAAGAGACACCGGGTCCTCATCATGGGTGACTTCCTCCTGAGAGGAACGGAGACCCCATCTGTTGCCTGGATCCCATGGCACGGGAGGTTTGCTGCCTGCCCAGAGCTCGGATTCCGGACATCACAGCAACGATTCCAGACCTCATCTGGCCCTCTGATCACTACCCCTTGGTTCTCATCCCTGTGGGCAGTAATGACATGGCTGGGAGTAGTCCGGACTGTGTCATGAGAGACTACAAGGCTCTGGGAGCCAAGCTTACAGAGACAGGAGCACAGGTGGTTTTCTCATCTGTTCTTCCAGTGAGCAGACATGGATGGCGCCATGAAGCCTGCATTGGAGAGGTCAACTGGTGGCTTTGGAGCTGGTGTTACTGGGCAGGCTTCAGATTCTTTGACTATGACCCGCACTTCCGTGCGGGAGACATGCTAGGGCGGGACAGGCTACATCTCTCCCTGAAAGTTAAGCATGTTTTCTCTTCCAGGTTGGCTGATCTCGTATGGCATGCTTTAAACTAGGTTAGTCAGGGGTGGGGATGCAGACGCACAGGAGGACACTTCGACATCAAGCCAGGTGACACAAGCAGGAACAACCCAGGTAAGTGAAAAAGGGCCTGGACAAGCTTGGGAACAAGAGGGCAGCACGAATACTCATAGGAGGTCTCAATTACCTCTACACAAATGCTAGAAGTATGGGAAATAAGCAGGAGGAACTCGCCCTCCTGCTAGCTAGCAAAAACCCAGACCTGGTTGGGCTTAGAGAAACCTGGTGGGATTCTACCCATGACTGGGCAGTATACATTGAGGGCTATAGGCTGTATAGACGAGATAGAGTAGGGAGAAAAGGGGGCAGTGTAGCATTCTATGTTAAAGAGCGGTACATG